AAAGAAGACAAATGATTGAATAATGCACATAGATATTGAATGAGGTACTAAAGCTATCATTATTTGATATACTCACATATTTGTGTTTCATTCATGAAGAATGAGAAATTTTGATAAATGGTAAAAATATAAATTCATTCTTTAAAGGGAATAAGGTGTAAGCCACCATGCTAGGCATGAGAAAGATTGCAAAAATGTTGGCATAAATAATATGTTACATGCACAATTTTCTTCAGATTAGTTCATTCAATGATGGGATCATGACTCACCTAAAGGGTGAAGTAATTGAGAAGAAATAAATTTGAAAATTACTCTTGGATTAATAAAATTGAAATTTACTCATATAATAGTAAATCAGAAATTTACTAAAGCAAAAGGCACATGACGTAGTAAACTTGGAGTTTACGAGTACTAATAATTTTATTAGTTGGCATGAATAATTTGGTCATCCCAAAGATGTGCATACTGAATAATGGACATACATTGAAAAATTAGAAGATTCTTTAAGAATTCTTTACGTTGCTTGTTCTCGTAATAAAGTTGATTGGATCAACTAAAGTTGGGACTAAATCCCTAAATTTTGAAAAATATAAAAGGTGAATATGGGCTCGTTCACCTATCATGTGATATGATAAAAAGATGCATCAATAATACAATCACATGTGCGTTTGTTGTCAACTTGCAGTTTGACATTCGCAAAATTGTTTGTGCAAGATAATTGAGCTAAAAGCACAACTTTCAGAATATGAAATCAAGATAATTCATCTTGATAATATTAATAAATATATAAGATGATGTGAATGTCTCACATAGTGAATCATTGCTTATGAAAATAAAGTTTCATGTGTTGATCTGAAATATGATATTACATACAAACATAATTGTATGAATCAAACCAATAAGTTATGATCAATTTTTCTGTTAATTGTTTTATGGTCAGGGACCAAATAGTTTTCATCTGATAATTCTGATGTGCAATATATGATTAATGAATATACTATGATGCACAAAGATAGATTCTCCAAAAGATTGAAATATATGTTAGGTTGTCTAACATAAGGGGAGATTAGAAGCAACACAAAAGTTGTAAATACTCCTATTGAATGTCCCTTAAGGATAAAGTCTATGACATACATGAAGCATGATAGACTAATCAATTCTAAATAAAATAATCCTTGAAAAAGGGGGAGGATCAAAGAATCAAAATGATCATAATAAAGAGACAATATGCTCTTGGAGAGCCTATGACATAACACTTTATGAAACCTCATGAGAGGGGTAGCTACATAAAAATAATGAAGTGATGAGATCTCAATAAGTTTAGTCGTATTGTGAATCAATACAAAATGATTTATCATTGATGATATCTTTAATACAATAGCGCGCAATATCGTAAAAGATTATGAGGATATGAATTCTACATCTATTAAAGCATGCTTGTGTAGAAATAATTATCAAGTGAAAAGTGGAATGATGCATTTTGGTAAGCGTAAAACTTATTTGACTTGCAATCTAGACACTAAAAGATGTCATACATCTAACTTGAATGTTATTGCTTGACAGAATTAAATATCCAATGGGTTCAAAATCTAAAGCATATACAAGTTTTTGGAAAACTTGTTTATCATCCTCATAAGGATTAAATCGATTCAAA